CCTGAACCGGTCGAGGACCCACCCTTGAGTGAGGAGGAGCTGGCAAAGAAGCACGAGATTGTCAAGGAAACGAAATAAAGTAAGCTTTCTCGTTTGAGTCCACATCCATCTTACTTCATTATAACAGAGCATTGCTCGCTACCTCAAGTACCACGCCCGAAACATTCGCGGCAAATATTTACGGGCAAGGACTCATAGCCCCTACAACATTTTATTCCACCGCATGAAAGCCGTTCCTCGCCCCAAACGAAAGCTCCAACCTCAACAGCAGTACCAGCACGAGCATGCTGAGGAACTTCGCCCCATCTACCTTCAAGAGGCCAGCCGCATCAACGACAGTAACCCGGGGGCGAAGCCTGTGGTTATAAACGCTCCCTTTCGCCAGAGCGTCGTCAAGAAGATTTTCGAGAACCTCCCAGTGGAAGTCCAGAACGAGTATGAGCAAAGGGCGCAGGACGAAGCTACAACCAACAAAGAAAAACTTGCCATTTTCGATAAGGAGGGGCCGGGTGACCCCAGAATTCCGTTCGAGTAAGTTGTTTCTTGGGGGGTTGTTCTTCTTGCGCTAAGCTGGCTTCAGATGTATTGCAGACTTTAAAGACTTCATTTGGCCCATTGCTACACACTTTACGGAACTGACAGGTCTCCACTTCTTCTGCATGGTTGGCGGTCTCAAACCCACTGAGCAAGGTGGCGAGATTTGGACCTCATCGTAACCGAAGCCTTCCCTATTTTCTCACTCCAACTTACTATACTTCAGGGTCTATCATGGCGTAAATCGAGCCACTGTCGGAGTTGCATGGCCCTCCTCCAACAAGCCACGGTTCCAGACGGACGTTGTGGGTTTTTTTCAGGGAATATCTGGAAGGTTGTTTTAGTGAGTGAATCTCTGTGTGCCATAATGATGCTAACCTTTGTTATTGTAGCGGAATCCGATAAAGCAGATGCGACCTTGGGTCGCCCCTCAGGCCAGAACGCGGACAACGTCCACTTGCCTGCGAAAGACAACGCCCAATCCACGTCCAATCCAGCTCCTGCAAATCCTTCCCAACTCGATGGTCTACTCCGCTTCCCAGACGACCATGAAGAATTTGATTTTCAAGTCACACAGTCGGACTTGGAAGAGTCTGACTCTTCGGACTCTGATGATTCCGAGTCAGACTCTGATACCGACTCAGGTGCGGCGACGGTCACCGCGAAAAAAAAGGAAGGAACCAGCAAAGTCGACTCAGAAGGGCAAGCAGAAAGCCAAGAGCAAGGCGACTCCAACGGTATCACCAACGGTAGAGTCAACGCAACTGGACACGAATGGTGAGGTTTTATTTTGAACGACACTGAATGTTGACGGTTATGCAGCAAACACCGGCCCAGTACAGCCCATCGACTCGTCTGGGGCAGCTGCGTCGGGCTCTTCTTCAAATCCAAGTCCACAGCCAACTGGCGATCTCTCAGCATCTTCCATCGTTCAACAAACCGCAACCGCTGCACCAGCTATCGTCCCACAAAAAAAAAGCGCAAGCGACCAGAACAGGCAGACGATGACAGTTCTACGCACAAGCGCCCAAAGCGGGCAGTTGAAAGCGCCAATGACCGTGTCGCGTTTACAAAAAGAAGCTGCAGATAAAAAGCTCAAGCAAGCTGAACGTGAAGCCGCGGCTAAGGTGCAACGGGAGGCGGCGAAGCGCAAGTCCGAAGAAATGAGGATTCAACGAGAGCGCGCGGAATATCACGAACAGGGATTGGCATTGGCAAGACAAGCCAGAGAGGCAAGATTGGCAAGGGAGCAGCTGGAGAAGGAGGCGGAACATTCAGCTGTAACTTCCTCTTTGGCTTCAAACGACCCGCCAGTCAATCTCGAGTCGAGCCAGCAGGTCGCTTTCGCTGCATCCTCCCAGGTGCCTCACGCTGACAATGCCGCACCTGCATCCGAGTTGATAGCATGCCCACCTGACGCTCCGACATGGTTCAAGCATATGTTCACCGACATCTCACGTTTCAAGCTCGGTCCTCGCTTTGTGCAGTTGATCAAGGCCCTCGTTTTGCTAGAGGCTGCATACGGCTACCTTGATCGTCGCGCCAAATTGCCAGCAGTGGGCCGTCCTGGTCAAATTGGCGAGTGGTTTAAGCACGGTCGCGTCTGGAATCCTGAGGCCATGAAAATTTCCGACGTGCTTTCATATGGGAAACAATGGAACTCTTGGTGGCGGAGTCGGCAGCCTCCGTGGCGCGCTTCCTGATTCCGCCGCGGATGATTTGCTCAAGGTTGCATCTGAGAGACGTAGCTGGGGTGGGTTGGCGTTACCAGGCACCAGTGGGATGGGGGTTGTGGTGGCCTCCCTAAGTTGGTGGGGCCGAGAAGTATGGGATAAAGGCAACGAGGCGGCTGCAGATTGGGAGAAGGCTGTCGACGATGTGGAATGGGTCGTGCAAAACCTCACGAACGATGCTGCAGCAACCCTGGACTTTTTGACGAAGGACAAAGGAGTCAATGCGAAAAGCCAGTAGTGCAATACTAGTACTTCGACCAATCTCATTCCAATCACTTGCTACGACTAAAGTTCGACCATGTAAAAGCAAGTAGTATTGCTGTAGAATGAGTAGCTATTTACAACTGGAGTTCTACGAGGCGAAATTCGGCTGGGAAATGAAATCCACGAAAAAGACGAATCTACCGTGCTTGCGTCATACCATGAGTATTTTCGCCGTATTGCCCACTGCCGGCGACGGTCAAGATTGGGTCGATAATGAATGCGCTGGCTGCACGTCGGACAACTGTTGCTGTGTCTGTCGACCAGCCAAAGCGTTAAGCAAACGCAACAGAAGTGATGACCGCAGGGGTCATTATTGATTCGGAAATGCTGCGAAATTTCGCGCAGTCTGTATAGGTCAAGGTTAAATGGAGGACGGACAGCAAATAGCACCTCTTACCTCACGGGAACAGACAGTAGCTGCCCGCAAAGTCCGCACAAGTCGGCAGAGTCAGTGACGACGACGGTCGACATCGAGGGTGGCCGTGCTTTTCCACGATACAGGCTTGCGCGCGTTGGGATTGGAGTGTGCGCGTCGAAAACACGGTGGATTACTGGAGGGGTCATGCCGAAAAGACTGTGGCCTTGTGGGATTTCATCTGCTGACCGAGGGCGGAAATGGGGTACTGTAAGATTTTAACGAGGAGTCAGTCGTGAATGTTGCAAGAGGGAGAAAGCCTTCACCGAATAGTAGCCGCCTATTGCTACGAGTAGGCCCGGGCGTAGTACCAAGCTCAGACTCGGGCGATGATGTAGAGAGCTCGGGATCTCCTCGCAGCATTCGAGCTTGAAGTTCTTGCCATTCCCAAGCAAGTGCCGCAAGTGTTTTGAATATGAGATTTTCTTGATTTCCCCGGCGCAAGGGCCCGAGTCAGTATTAGCTTAGCATCGTGTCAGCCACGACATGACGACCCTGAATCCTTCGGATAAGTAGTTGTAGTTGTGGCTCGGATTTGGCTCGGGTTTTGCGACATTTGATGGTCATTTGGCGACGTCACGCACTCACACTTGATTTGATTCTTTCCATGATCCCCTCATTGTCATCGAGATCCTGTGGTTGTCAGGGAAAAAGGCCCGATTTAAGCGTGAGGTTGTCGGCTTCGACGCTTCAGCTTGAAGTGGGTTATCGAAACAGTAAGTAAGTTATAAACATCCTCCCCGGTCCAAGTTGAGCAACTCACAATGTCTGCTCCCCACACCCCCCCTCGTTTGTGTTCCTTTCTGAATTTGGCGTCGACGTTGACGATGCTCTATAGCCCGGCGCTCGCTTATTCGTGGTCGGTCGACACCCACAGGCAGTGATACTTCCTCCCCCCCTGCTCGACGACCAAGAATTGGAGGCAGCCCAAGGACCGTGACTGCCAGCGGCATGCATTCAAGTTCGCCGGAGTCTCGTCTTAACGCTACCACTGGCAGTGTTCGTTCTTCTCAGTCGCCGCCGACAACCATCTCCTGCGATGAGGACCCGGACTCCGACTTGGCAGAGCTCTCTGATAGCGACAGCCAGAGCGAACCTGAAGAAGGATCTTTGCCATCCCCAAGCAACTTGGTCAACGCAACGGCGAATCTTTCCGAGTCCCTGAACTCCAATTTGGTTGAGTCCGCCGGTGAGTCTACGCAGCTAATTCTCGCTGCAGCTGTACTGATATCAACGCAGAATATTATTCCACTGAACGACCTAGCTCAGTCCTACGTCAACTCATCGCTGCAGAGGCCGACGCGGAGATTATGGACCACAGGGCTCAACGGGCAAGCACCCTCACCTATCCAACATTGTCTCCCACTCGTCGACCAGCTCCCCGTTTGCGCGTCGGTCGGTTTGATGTGGCGAGTCTACCTGCAGATGTGCAGGAGTTTGCGTTGGCCGAGCGTTCGCGGGTTTTAGCCTATACCCGAAATCCAACCCCAGGCCAATCTATTTTATCTCGTGGACGTCGTTCTGTCGGAGTCCGTCCTAGGATGCCCCTCTCAGCGTTGACGCGGCTTCAACCAACCTCTTCGTTCCAGGCCTTGAATCCTTCCTTCTTCGAGTCGACGCCATCATCCCAATCAACCACTGGCAACGCCGGTGGACGCGAGCATTCGCCATTGGCGAGTCCTATCACGATATCGCGCGGACGCTCAAGCTCTAGCCTAAGTGGGAGTGAAGGCGATATCTTGCAGCTTGGGGAGGAGTTTGATGGTAGCCGGGTGGACCTTAGGATGGCTTTGGGCAGCCAAGTTGAGGGGGCATCGGTCTCAACTTATGATATAATCTGCCAATACCCTACCTCTCATCAAAACTTTGACTTCGAGTCGTAATTTCAGTAGATAGAGCTTTGCGCTTCGTTAATTCGCTTGTCCCTAAATTTTTGATCCCCAATCAACGAGTCCCAAACGCGTGCCGCTTCTAAACCCGTGACCGTGGCGTGGCAATTACGTGTTGATGCTTATTTTTTCTTGCCTTATTCCTCTTCACTCTCCACAACCGACATGGCGCCACTGACTTTGGCGCAGCGCAATGTGTACGCCGACGAGAATGCGGACTTCAACCCGACCGACGAGCATGCGTATATATCTGCAGACAACACAAGAGTTGTTACAAGTGCTTTCAATCTGTCCCCCAGCAAGCGTCCCCGAAAAGGGCGCGTCTACGAATCCGACCCAAGACTGCAGGATTGGGTCCCCGTCCCGGATGCCACCATGGATGAGGTAGATGCTCTGGCTACGTCAGTCTCATCTTTCGACGTTGACCTTGACGAAGTCGTGACAAAACGCAAGCGCTACGAGTCGGTGACGTGTCCTGAAACGAAATATGCGAGAAAAGAGCTTACGAAGAATGTAGGATGATCCTATGGAGGTGTGGAAAAGTGTGTCGGGGTTGTTTCTCGACGAAATCGTGATGACACGATGGTTTGGGTCAGCGAACCCAGTGCGCCCGTCTGCCCGACCAAAGTTAACCAGGCCGGCCAGCGCTTTTTCGATGCCGACAATGTGGGGTGCAAATCTTCTGCGAAAGTTGCGTCAAAAAACAGCACCAATGGTCACCTTTGCATACTATTCAGGTCAGCCTCAAGCATTTTTCACTGTGGGCCGACATATTGATCCTCGCTTGGTAGGAGTGGACTGGGAGCTTCTGGACAGAGGTTTCGCTCTACCACAGTCGAGTGGAGAGCGGGGGGGCGCTCAGGCCTTGGCGCTATGTATCAACTAGGACATTCGGGTGCTACATGTCCCTTCCCTGGTAATCGGCGGTCAATGGTTGTCATCGACGTCAATGGAATCTTTGTCGTTGACATACAGTACTGCGATTGCCACAATACCAATGGCTCTGACATGCTGCAGCAACTACTCCGGAATGGATGGTACCCAGCGACAACCATCAACCCAGCGACCTGTGCCACCTTTAATGTGCTTGAACTGTTTCGTCTGCTCCGCACCATTGGCAACCTCAATGTCCATGACTTCATGCGGACTTTGGAGAGGTCAGGCGACCCCACCTTAACCTGCGACACTCCTGTAAGTACACACGATAATCTCGATCGTCGTAGACTGATGGGATTCAAGGATCGGTACAAAGCATTTGGGCGGATGGCTCGACAGTTTGATTTCTTGAAGCGGATGAAGCGAGCGGGTCGCGCGTACGAGGCTGATGGAATGGCTACAACGCCACCCGGTGGGTTAGCAGTATTATGTTGGGCGTGTCCAGCGGAGGGAAGAAATCTCCCCGAGGGGTGGCGTAACGTGAAGCCAAGCCAACGGTGAATACCCATCTATCTTTGGAAAAAATAGTAATGCGTTCAAGCTATCTTTACCGATTAATCCTCTCCATCGACGCGAACTTTCGCCTTAAGAATCGCCTTCGACCGAATGAGCATCAAGACCTGTCGTTAGGCTCAGGCTTGGGATATTTCGTGGAGTCATCATCGTACAAGGATCACCTCCGAAGCTATGTCAAAGAAAAAGATGTGAGTACTGTTTTGGGCAGCGAGACTGAGGTTTATGCCATGGTAACCCAATAGGTCAGCTCTTGTGTTGCCTTTGCTGCTCTGCTCCAGAAGGAGACTCGTTTAACGACCGGATTGCGTGTTTCTGGGGTTGCCGGATGTGTTTGTGCCCGTCATGGGCTGGTGCGAGCTCGAGGACTAGGAGATCTACAAAAGGGAGAACGGTATGTCGCGTCAAGTTGCTTATCTTTTCGACTTAAGGATGACCTTAGGTATGCAAATGTGGATTGGATTGTGGCATGCACACTCTGGACCGAGCGGTTAATGGAGTATGGCTTCGCCTATGACATCGCTTTGCCAATGGATGATAAATTTCTTCAAACGGCTGGCCAAAATTCGCGAGGGGTCGGGCGGATACAACCACGCTTACTACCGATTTCGACGACCTGGAGGTGGTTTTTGGCGTGCCTGTCTGGCATGCAGGTGCGCACGATCTTCAATGTAGAGCACATCTTGCTCTGGCTTATCTCTTGGGCATGGGAAAGACCGATGGAGAGGCGATGGAAAGGATATGGGCTAGTTTGAACCCCGCCAGCTGGGCTACGAAGGAAATGGGCGAAGGAGGTCGACACGATGTATTGGAGGACAAGGTGGATCATCTTAATTTCGAGAAAAATCTGGGACTAGGTATGTGCTTGGATTGCTCTTTGACTACGTCAAACGAATCATTGTTAGGAAGGGCGTTGTCTCGCAAACTCATCGTCGCCATCTCGGAACGCCGGCGTCAAGGCAACGAATTTGCGGAATTCGACCAAAGCATCAACAAAGTCAAGCGAAAACAATGGCGAACTCTCATGGACAACTGGTATAAAGACACGACCCAACCAAATCCGTTTGTTCTGCAGGGTGGAAACGCTGGTCAGTGGCTGGACTTGGCTGCATGTTTCGGCTAATGAACGACGAAAAAACCAGCTGGCCCTACCGAGCGGGAAATTGTGCAAGACTTGAAGAAGGAAGAGCTTGAGGAGGTCAGGGCTGGCCGAATTCCTGTCTTAGAAGGCAAGATGACGGTTGTGGCTTTCATCAAAGCGGGCCTTCAATTGCAAAACTTGCAGTAGGTTGACCTACTCCTGCTCTCCGTTTATTATTGACACTTGGCAGGAGGCGAATCCGTGCGGCTCTGAAAAACAAGTCCTTGACAGCTGACCGTGCAAGTCAGATTCAAGAGCTGCGACTATCTCTCGTCAAACAAACACAGGCTTTCCAAAAGCTGCAATTAACTTACATGCCTGGGGTCGAGGGCTTGCGTCAAGCGGACGATACAAAACGCAACCCAGATCAACCGACTCCGCCACCAGAAGACACGAAGCTTTACCTGCCGTCAGACCTCACACATACTGAGCGTTTGCAGGCATGCGTCCAACGCGTTGTTGACACCGAGGTCAACCTTCGCCGTGGTCAATGTACCGATGCTTTGGTTGCCCTGCGGGCAAAACTCTTCGCCCAGACGCATATGATCTGGTTTCGCGATCGCAATCTTGTGGGTCAAAAGGCGCGGACTCGGTCAGTAACACTTATGGGGCGTCTTGAAGAAGGCATCACCAGAATCGTGGCTAAATATCGTTCTGCGCAAGAAGCGATCGTGAAGCTAAAAGGGCCCGCCTTTGCCCCGGAGTTTCAGAAGCTGGAAGATGCAGATGTGAACTGCCGAGTTGTGGAAGAGAACGACATTGAAGCAGCCCAACGGCTTAGAGGTGCCGATGGTTCCAGAGGTGCTCGAGCGAACCTAGTACCAAGCGCCTTCGGAAAAGTGTCTTGGATTTGGCAGGCCGAAATCGGAAGCGAAGCCAAGAAATGCATGATGGTATGTGTGAAGGGTTTTCATTCAAGTCATTATTGACTGGTTTGGTCAATAGCTGTTCGTGTGGAGTGGTCAAAAGCCAGGGCTCGTCGCGTTGGAACGAAGAAGAAGTCGAACTCATCCGTGAAGAAATGAAACGTGTTTTGCGTTCATTGCGGTTTGCGCAGAACGAGTGGGCAGCACGTGCCACCTCTGCGAGACTCTTTGTCGACCCAGAGGTGGCGAATGGTCTGCGCGCGTATGCTCTTCGCCAGGTGGAGCTACACAAACGAATAGCTGAAGGGTTCTACACCGAGTGGCGGAAATCAGTTTCGGATGCGGTGAAAGAGGTTATGGCTCAAGATGGGGCTCTGTATCGACATTTGCTGGATGGAGACTCAGAGGTTGGTGGAATGGCTGAGCTAGAAAGCAACAATTTGTAGGATGTTTTAAATGCGTCCGAGTCACAATGCGTCGAGGCACTCAGTTACGTGTGAACGTGACATTCGTCACGTGCATGTGACGATCGCGACTTACCCACTTTCTCCGATGACCACCGTGCTCTGGGTAAGGATTGCCCAGTGGCACTGGTAATTCGTTGAATCATCATGCTAGAATATCGGTGAAAACCGGGTTCTCTTTGAGTTTCGCTTTCAAATGGCGCAAGTCGTCGACGCAGCCGAGAAGGCGGAGGACAAAGCCCACGCTTGGCGGGTTGCATGGCGCTGGATTAAGGTCTTCTTCGTGGAGCATACACCGAAGATGCTTGACCCCGTGGCTTCGAACTCCTTGGTCAACGCCACCAGGGAAGCCGAACGCCAAAAACAAACGGAATATGTTATGGCATGGGAGATGTTGCTACTAATAAACGCAGACGACGATTGTGTCACCACACCAGACGCTAAAGCTATATGGCTGAACATCTGCGAATGGCAGGAGTGTCTGATAAAGGAGGGGCACTATCTCCAACTGCAATCGAAACATTTTTCCAGTGAACTACCCGGGCCGAGCGCTGCCAATACTAACAACTCCGAACCTCTCGTTGGCTTGCGCTACGCGGAGGCTGACGAAATACAGGTAATAACCAGGAATGCTGTGCTTTCCTTGACGAAGATCTCTGCTGTGCTTACCTGGGCTCTTGAACACGCCTTTGGCCCGCTGTGTCGCTACCTCATCGAGGACATGTTGCTTGTGCAAAGGTTGTCGATTCGACCACCTGGAATCTAACACCCAACCGTCGGGCTGACGTATTCTATCTCGCATTGAGGTCTCTGGAAGCGCTCGGTGCTTTCGACAAGAAGAACTTCGAAAATGCAAATTTCGTCAATCGCATCGGAGCTCGACAAACGGCGCAGATTCTGATGCTCTCTCTGGATATAACGATAAAAGTCTGTGGCCTGAAGGACTCGCCCTTCCATTGGGCATTACCAGTCATGTCAGTGGATTCCCTCAACTTCCTCTACCGATTCTACAAGAGTGAGGAACTGAACGCCGCCTTGCACGTCGAGCTGAGGCGGAAGGGAGTATATGGGATGCTGATCGACTTATTGGCCACTCTCTTGACGATCGACGATTTCACGGAACTGACGGGAAACGCGCTGACTGGGGCGATGGATAGTAATGTCAACCTGCTGTTGTGGTTAGCACAAGCGGAGGAGACCTATACGAAGGCGATCGTTCTAATGCTCACCAACTCAAAAAAGAATTCGGCGCTGCCCGTCTTATTGGACTTCCTGCTTCACAAGGACTCCACTCAACACACCAAGCAACAGGTGATCGCCTTTTTGCACTCCGCACTGGGCCAGACCATGTGGAATCCACGAGTCTTGAAGGTTTTGCAGGCTACCAAAGGAAAAGAGACATTGGCCCGATACGTCAACGAAAAGCAGCGACAGATCGTTGTCGGGGCTCAATAAACAAGTTGAAGAAAGCACAAACCTGTGGGAGGTCCTTCAAGGGGTGGGGAGAGAGCTCGTGTCGCAGGGAATATGCCAAGGGGTAAGTTGTCATTTGAGCCTGGGTGTATAATCTGAGTCTTGATAGTGTGGCCATGTTGCCTCCAAAACGTCCTTCCAGACTTGCTCGGCATGCAAGGAGGTGTATTACTGTAACCAGCAGTGTCAGAGGAACAATCGAGCGTCCCACAGGATGTGCTGCAGTAACCTCGCGGTTTCGCTCTGGCGTGAGCTTTTCTTTGTTCCAATCATCAATTGACCTGAGCTGACTGGATGGCAGGTGTCCAACATGAGAGCATCGATAGCGCAACACAGAAGTTCATTCGTCGGACGATCACCAGGTCCTTTCGTACTGGCTTCCAGTCGATTAAGAGGCTGGCCTTGGTAGCGTTGGACGAGTCGGAGTACCTATCGGTGGTTTATCGCTATGATTGCGTGCCAATGAGGTATGATTGCATTCGCTCCCAGAAACTGCCGGAGGTGCCTGGCATGGAGATGTGGGGGGCGACGTGAATTTGATGAACATCGTTGACCTCGTCGAGGGCAAACTTCGCCGTCGATGCGGTAATCCTGCCAGTCTCGAAGACGAAAACGGTGACTTGGACTGTCATTCGTAGGTGCACAGAGCGAATGGATCGTGCTTGGTGGTCTGGCGACATCCCGAATGGTTTGATGTACGTGTAGGGCTGAAATGTATGTACCATATATCAATCAAATCTTCCGCTGACAGTGACAGACTGCGCCAAGACTCCGCGTTGCTACGTGGCCTGATTTTTACACTGTCTGGGCGTCTGCATCGACCACAGTCTTACCCCTTCCCCCCTGCTTCTGACTTTTTCCATCTGCCCGCTCATCTCTCTACCGCTCCCGCAAGGAATCTGCTGCCCAGCCCCGTTCCGCACCGTCTCCCTCCCCTTCACCTTCCTTATACATATGTGTGTGTGTGTGTAGTGTCGGAGTAGCTAAGTATGTGCGCATAAATAGAGAACAAATACAATATATGAGTTACATCGAGCGATCCAGCGTAGGGCTGGGCTGGAATTTACCCAAAATTTACCCAGGATTGATTTGGCCCTGAAAGTGACTAGACGGCGAGTATCGGCACGAGAGGATCAATCAACCTGGGTGAGCAGGGTCGGCAGAGGTAGAGTTGAAAATGCAGTGGCTTTGCCAGGGGGGGTGGTGGAGCCAGGTGTTTTGCAATCTGATGTTCTGGCAACTGCCAGCAGTGATTGAATCAGGTTACAGCCACGGGTGCTCGGGGCGTCTCACTTCGCTCTCCTTTTTGCGAGGGTTTTCCATATGGAACATTCCCTGTTTCGGGCCATATATAGGCTGCGTCGATTCTCCTTTCCCCTTCGTTTTTCGTCGTTTCCCCGTCATGGCCCCCCACTATTGTCAGGGGAACCTCCCTTTCGGCCCCTCGGAGACGATCCCGATTCCGGTCCGACTCCGGTTCCGACTCCGGTGATCGCATCACCGCCTCCGTCAGGCGCATCGCCGCCCCCGCCTGGCGATCCCCCTGGGACCTGGCCTGCGACATGGCGCAGGCATACTGCACGGAGCAACGATCAACCTTGGCGCGTCAAGAGCGCAGTATATAGTTCCGCTACCTAGCAGGCGGACCCTTAGAGTTTCTTCTCTTTGGATCCTCCCCTGCTAGGACCTTGATCTCAGGCCTCCGGGGTTGCCCTTACAGCAGAAGAAACTCTCTACGGGATCAACCGGACAAGATTGCTAGGTTCGGCGCTGACTCAGGCTCGGAATACGAGTCCGTTCCGCCCTCGTCACCGCCCCTACCACTTGTCCCCTCCTCCTCTGTCACTCCTGTCGTCCCCGCACCTGTCATGCCTTCCGGAGCTACTCCTGACGCTGACACTCGGCTGGATGCACTCGAGGCGAAAATCGACCGCCTAACTGAGGCCCTTACTCTTCTCACCACCCAGGCTTCCGCTGCCGCTGCCGCCGCTAATACTGCTGGCGGACCCCAAACAACACCACCCCCGGAGACGTCGATTCCGACTCCGACTCCGGTTCAGGGCGATTCCGAAGCCCTCTTTGGCGACATCAACCTCGCCTCAAAATTGGTCTTGCGACCAAACCCTCCGTTCACCTTCAACGGCGATCGGAAACGCGGCCGCGTTCCTTTACGCGGTCCGCACCTACGCCCGCCTTGCCCCTGAGGCCTTTGTGGTCAACGGAGAGGCAAGTGAGGAAAAGGCCGTCCGCTATGCCATGTCGTTTATGGCAGAAGGACCCGCTCAGCAATGGGCGGAGCGCCACGGAAGCAAAGCCCCGTTTCCGTTTCCGTCCTGGGGCTCGTTCGTTTCCGAAGTTTCGACTCCGGTTCGTCGAGGAGAACGAGCAAGATCATGCTCTCTCCAAACTGGAGACTTCCGCCTATCACATGGGCACAAAGGATGTCTACCAGTACACCGACGACTTCGAGGACCTGATGGACCTCGCCGGATTCGAAGACGCGTTGGTCAAGGTGACCAAGTTCCGCCACGGACTTGACCCCTTGATCAACAACGGAATCACGTCCCTCGAACGACCCCCGGACCTCCGGGACTACCTTAGCTGGCGCACCCGGGCCTTCCGTCAATACGAGGCCCTGGTCCGGGCCAAGCTGATCAAGTCAGCCGCCCCCAAGACGCCTGGCGGTTTGATTCGGACTCCGTTTCCGGTCAACCGCATCCCGGCTCCGGCCCTTTTCCGCCCGGTGGCTCCGGTCGTGCCACCCGCGGCCCGCGCCCCGCTCCCGGCGCCTCCAGCTCCCGTCCCCATGGAGTTGGATCGCACTAGGGCTCGGGGTGCCCCTCGTCGCGCCTGCTTCAGGTGCGGCGACCCAAACCATCTCGCCCGGGATTGCCCCCTCCCCGCGGACGTCCGCTCAATGGACATCCTCGACGAGGTGATCCAACAACTCGGTGACGAGATGTTAGCGGAGTTGATCGCCCGCTACTCGGACACAGCTGCGCTGCCGGAGACAGCTGCGGAGTCGATGGCCGGAGAGGATTTTGTCCCCGCGACGAGTGACTGGTGTGCCCTCGTTCGCGTCCATAAATCGTTTCGCTTGTTTGTATGACGAATCAATTCCTTTGCCCTACAACGAGCCTGAAACGAAAGACATACCCTCCCCTGCCCCCATTTCGACTCCGTCTCCGACTCCGCCCGCGACTCCGGTTGTCGTCCTTCGCCGCCTCACTGCCTGGGAAAAGAAATTGCCCAAGCAGTACACTGTCGCTGCCTCCCCCGGAGTAAACTCCCTCCACCTCCCGTTGGAGCTAGAGTCCACCACCAGTGCGTTGAAGCTCTCCCTTTCTGGGCTTGTTGACTGTGGTGCCACCTCCGACTTCATCGACACGAACTACGTCGCTCGGAATGGCATTCCGGTCCGCACCCTGGCGCAGCCGATTCCGGTCTTCAACGTCGATGGCACTCCGAATGATGCTGGCTCCATCAACCAGATCGCGGACTTGGTCCTA